AAAGTGTAACGATGGGTGCTCAGAAATACTCACCATCTTAGAATAACCTGGTTACAACTGAGAAGAAACATTGGAAATATTTTAATTGTACTTTTCAGAAAGTGAAGAAACACAATATACTTGGTGCTTTCAAAATCCTCATTGAAACCCAGACAGTGATACAAGAATATGGTCTTAAGACATTATATTTCACTTAAGCTTTAGTGTTCCTTCTCCCTTCCCAAAAAAGCTATAGCAGAAAAGTGATCCATAAATCCTTCTGTCCACTTTATGGCATGGTACCTCAAATGATGAATGCTGTCTCATTTTGATAAAAAAAAAAAAAAAAAAAAAAAAGGAAGTCCATAAAAAATACAAAATCAGTTTAATGAATTGAATGTTACTTCTGTAATATTTTTCATCCTGAACTCATTTAGTAGAGGAAATGGATATTTCATCAGACATGGATTTGACGTTCCATCACATTATACAGTAAACAGTACAAACGATGTTATTTTTTTTTTTTTAATGAAGAAGCTGGAAGAGCTAAGACAGTAGCTGCTGTAAGGCACTGGTTATCTCATTTAAACAGATATTAAATGTGGGTGCCAGTGGTGTGATCATCAGCTGCTTCCCACTTTGTGAATAAATTGCTTAGAAGGAGTCTTTTTGCCTACCAGATGTGACCTAGATTTAGATTTCCAAAGGCAAAAAAAAAAAAAAAAAAAGGAAAAAAAGTCTATTGTGCAAAAAACAATTGCGGGTAAAATGCGTGGAAAATGAGCTTATCTCACTTTTCCAGGTGTTTAGGCTAATATGTTATGGAATTACAGCTTCATTTATGAAAAATAATGAAGGAAAATGTTCCAGCAAATCAAATTTGGATAAAGGCTTAGGATAGTTATTGTGTTGTTAGCAAGTTTCAAAATGGCAGAAAGAAAAGGGAGCCAGCACAGATATTAAAAATATAGAAATCTGTGAATCTATGAAGAGGTTATTATAAAAGGGTCAGGGCTGACTGTGGTATCCAGCCTGTGTTGTGGTCTAGCAAAATGTCATGGAACAATATGAAGAATTATATTCCTGTCAGTGCATATGAAAGCAGGATTTTTTCTGAAAAGATCAAGCATTGGTATCTGTTGGCCCTGGATAAGACTAATGACATTGGTTGGTTAAATGTATAAACACTGAAAGAATAACATCGTTATTCTTTTTCTCTTTCCTCTTTTCCTTTTACTGATTCTATAGGGGCTGCCACTCGAAAACCGGACCCAGAGCCTGAGAAGCAGACTGACCATACTGTTAAAATTGCTGGAGTCATTGCAGGCATCTTGCTGTTTGTCATTATATTTCTGGGGGTTGTGCTGGTAATGAAGAAAAGGTGAGCAATTAGTAGATGTTTTCTATATACATATTCATGTCACAGCATCTCCTACAGCAGTTCTCAGTTTGATATTGGCTAAAGTATCCAGCCACCTTCGTGCCCTTTACCACAGAGTTCAGGAAGTACTGCTCCCTCCCAGCTCCAAAGCTTTGTCGGGCTTTTATAAAACCACAGTATCTGTTTCATCCCAGAGCATTTTCTATGAATTAATGTTTGTGGCTTTGTTATAGACGAAAAACAACTTGAGGTTAATGATTCTAGCACTTTATGCATTAGTACTGCATGATGGACTCTAATAATAGAACCATATCTCTATCCTGAAAATGTGAGTCTTCACTATTCAAAAGGTCAGCTGAAAAGTTAGATGTAGTTTCATTCTTGAATGTAAAAGAAATTCTCAGTCAAACAGGACTTACAGCTAAGGTAATTTTTGCTAAGAATGGGGTCTATATTGTTCTGCATAAACTTCATTCCCTGAAAACAAATGAAGATGTTGCAATGGTGCTGAATGTTTCCAAATGCTAGTTCAAGACGCACATTTGAGATTGTTTTGCCTTCAATATTATTTGAAAACTGCTACAACATTAGGATTGTAAGGCTTTTAAACCTGGTTGCCTTTCTTAAAACTATAAGAAAGTGAAAAACATAAAGAGAAAAATATCTCCTAGCTAGGGAGGTGGCATGGGTAAGAAAAAAATCCATGTGATGATAGAAGCTGAGTCTAGATTGGGAGAAATTTATTAGCAAATAGAATCAAGGTTTTAGGTTGTATCCTGAGTGATGTGAGTTTTGCAGCTGTAGAGGTGGGGCTGGGAATGTGTGAGAGCTGTATAGAGGGGCTGAGTCACGAGTTCTCCTTACACGTCTAACATAGTCTTCTTACTGTCCCATAACCCCTCACCTCCTTGCCATTCACCCTGTATTATCCCATTTTCTTCCTTTGTGAGCAATCTTGGCCTGATTTCGCTCTTCCCAGCACTATGTGATTTAATTGTACTTTAGCTAGTTTGGCAAGTCTGAGATAGTCCAAACCCCTGAGCTGCCTAAAATTTTTCCAGAATTTGAACAGTGGAGGTGCACAGCTAAGGAAGCAGCTGCCTGACAGTGCTTCAGGGCAGCCAACAGAAGTAGCTGCTGTTCACTCTAGAAGACAGAAGCAGGGCCATGAGTTACAAGGGCTGTATGTGGAGAAAGGCATGATGTGGCCAGGTCTGAGGGCTAGGTCACAACACAGTCAAAACCTGCCATACAGAAAAGATTGAGACTTAAGCCCCGTGGTAAGTCTGACTGGGGCAATGAAATTGACCCAGTAACCAAATCTTCTCAATACAGTGTAGTAGAGTTAAAATCTGTTCTGACTTTGCAGTACTTTTTTCTTCCCACTTCTGATTTCTTGCATCATCCATACCTTCAGTTTTAATAGTTGAATTCCCAAGCTCCTCCCTAGGGCCAGACACAGCACTTGGCATGCAGGGAGGAAGGCTTCTCACGTTGTCCGGACAGTCCTTCCTCATACAATTCCTGACTGACATTCCTCATCCTTTATCTTCCAGTTCTGAGCCTCTCCTTAAGCATTTGCACCAATATACTCACCTAAGACCAGAAGGGAGAGCATTGCAAAATGATCCAAATAAGTTCAAAGTAAATAAGGTGTCAGGGTCTCTGGCTAAATGGATGCTATACCAGCTCTTACTTCATTCTCTTGGGAAAAGCTCTTTGATAATCTAATTGTTAGAGGCAGGAAGGCTCGAATCCTGTTTGCATGTTAATACAGAAGGATACTTTATTCCTTCTGTCTATCACAGCACAGCAATTATTATTCATAGTAATTCTGTGTTAGAAGAAAAGTGCATTATGTGAACTTCTTTGGGATTTGGAATAAATCTGCTTGTGACAGAGATGAAACTATTGAAAGTACAAGTCCAGGAACTCTGTTACCAAGTACATACAATTTCATTGTGTAATACAGAAAGAATGATACCAATAACTTAAACGTATTCCAGAATGATGCTGCAGCCTTGAACAAAACAAACTGTGAAATGAGTTGGAGTGAATATTAAAAAGTAAGAATGGTTCGTCTGTGTAACAGGATGTGACTAGGCTGTAATGAGAGTTTCAGGAGGTGTATGGTGTCCCAGACCTCTACAGCAGATGCTGTAGCATAGAAGGTTTTGAATACAATTACACTCATGACTTAAGCAAAAGATGAACTGTTTATTCAATAGTTTGTTATTGGTGCATTAATTCACTATGCTGCTGAGAGCTCCTGTGGTTGCACCTGGGTTCAGTTACTGTGTATACATTATACATTTGAAGAAAATGTATAAATCATTCTGCAAGTTTAGTATAACTGTAGTGTTTTTGCAGTTTTATGATGCTTTGGGTGCTACTTTGTGAAACAATCTTATCAAGCTAGCATGTCATTTGACTACTGCACTTGATCATTTTATTTCATTTACTTTATCAGGAGTTTTACTGGAGTAAAGATCTGATTGAAAAATAAAATAGCACCTTGTAATTCAGTGGCACCTTTCCCCTGAGAACCACTTTCCTCTCTGCACTGTTATGTGCATACTCTTTGGGCTACAGTGCTAGGTTTCACTGTGCTTAGTCTACGTGCTCTGAAATTTGTCCTACTTGGCTACAGCAGTATCCTATTCACACTCCACTATCCCAATGCATATCCCAAGGCATGTACTGTCTGTTATGCATTCTTTCACAAAAATGGGTCCTTGTAGACTTGATCTCCAGATCTCACGAGTAGGTTAAATTTACTCTGTCTCTGGGGCTTCACAGTGCTTAATTAACTTAATTTCAAAGCATTTCTTTCCTTTGTCAAGAGATTTGGAAAGTGGTTTTACTGTACGTGATAACGATATCTTTGTCAAACTTATTCCTTTAATAGCCACCTCTTTGCTTGGTCAGTGCCAGGCACCATGGATTTTCATAGATCAGTGTCTTTAACCAGTAGCCAAGTAGACAAGACCAACATACAAAGCAGAGTTTTTAGTGCAGCACAGACATCCCTTGGAAAAGGTCACTATCAAAGCAGTAAGTAGAGAAGTTCTGCAAATATCAATAGTGATGAAGCATCATTATTAATTTCACTATATAGAGGTCTTCTAAAGTAGTTATATTGCAAACTGGGTTACAGAGAGATTAGATGGCCTAACTATTCCGTGTATGGTATGGAGTCATTAGTGAGGGTAGGAACATCATGGACAATAAAGCATTTTCTGTGTGGACACTCGGTCTTTGACTAAAGTGAAGCAGATCTGTATGCCTGCCACCTCGGTCAAGGGAAGACTGTTAGTACTTTCCTGTTTTTCTCCCCACTTGCTTTTTCAGAGTTCTTTATCTGTTCTGTTCTATCTTTTCTTTATCCATTCAAGCACATGTCATGTAATGTAGACCAGCAACCTGCAAGCTATTCCTAGTACCAATATGGTCATATCAATTAGACTGTTCTTCTCTGTGAAGTCAGAATAATGCCAATATGCTTTCCTCTCCTCAGCTGTGCTCTGAATCTCCCATGTTAGAGTTAACTCAGTCAGTGGAAATTAATACCTGTGTTTCCACAGTATTGCTCGACAATAAAGTAGATTGTGAATCTGATCCTTAATATTAAATCTCAGGCAAGGCCCTTGATCTCAGCCAGTATTTGATATGCCTGCATAGGACTTTATTAAAAATAATAAATAAATAAATAAATAAATAAATAAATAGTGCAGCTAGTAAGGTCACCTTTTGGTCAACTTAAAGTAGAGCAGTGAAAATGAGAACTGTTCCCACAACTATTGGAAAAGCAATAGCAATTAAATCAAGACTTGGAAAAATCAGAACCTTACTGCTTTATTCTTTTATCTTTTCATTTTTTTTCTTTTTTTATATTCTATTTCAACTAAGTTTAAAAAAATATACAGAAATTCAGAAATTAGATTTATTGGTCCAAGTTTGCTTAAAAGTATATATGTCTTTGGGGCAGCTGTTTCTTTCTGGGCTATCATCTTGCTGCTGCAGTGGGAGTGCAGTAAGGAAGTGGGTATTAAAATTTAATTACATTGGCTTCTGCTTCAGTTGTAGAATGGAGTTTTTCTGATCATTGCATTTCTCCATAAAAAGGTTATTTTCTTTTACCTATCTTTAGTTTCTGTTTTCAGCTGTCTCTATACCTAAGCCCTCCAGTAGTTTCTAATGTATGTAATTATGGCATATGATTAACTCAGAGACCAGAGTTCTTGGCAACAGATAAGGAAGGCTTTTGCACTCCTTAGAGTTGGGCTGGGGATCCATTGGTCCCATTCCCTGGTAGCAAATCAAGCTGTTCAGTTATAAACCTTTGCCAACAATTTCAAGCAGTTAGGATGGAAATTGGAGACAATAGGACTGAAGGAAAACTCCAGTCTTCTCCCAGTGCTATCCTTGAACCTTGTTTTTCCCTCTGGGCCAGCGGCAAAAGAGACAATTAAAGAAATCACTGGGGTAATTACACAGTTCCAGAAGTTTTCCTTCTAGTAGGACGATCCTCCTGCAGCCAGCTGCATTGGTTTTGATAAATTTTGTAGTGGAGCCTTATTCTACAAGTGATGTTTATGAAATCTATTTAAGTCTTCAGTCCTGAAGGATATAGAAGTGCTTTATATTATCACTATACACAGAAACAGTTTATTGCCATAAAACAAATTCTCTAGTGGAAAGTGACTGTAAAGCCATGCAAAGAAGAAAATTTGGCTAAGGTTGGCCAAAATCTTTGAGTCACTCTCTTTAACAGAAAAAGAATTTTCATACATAAAGAGAAAGTTTGTGTACATCACATAGAAAGTAACATGGAACTTGTTTGTATTTTTTAAAAATGCTAAATCTTTTCAATTATGAATGGTGCTTTTGCATGAGGCTTGAGCATTTGCAAGTCTAAAACTTTGTTTCTGTAGGTTTCTAATTTTTTTACCTGTTTCTTTCAGTGCCTGGTATTCTTGAGAGTCAGAAACCATAGTGCT